TCAACCAGTTTTGTCAAATATTAATGCAAACCGCCTTATTTTAAACGATATATATAAAAACAATTAATTTATTTTTTTTACTTTTAATTCACAAAAGAAAATATTTTTACAACAACAACAATACGCAAAAGAATTTACTAAATGAAATTTATTTATATTTTCAAATACTTTAAATTAGGGTCTTAATTTAGAAATGTCTGTTTTCAGAATCCATAGCACTATTTTGGATATTCGCTTCCCAATCTTTGTACTACATTTGCGCTACTTTTATCATAGTTCAGTTCAAACTGCTACAACAAGAGATACTACAAATAATACCTGAAAACAGTAGTAATAAAGGTCGAAGACAGAACGAGGATGAAGTATTTCAAATTAAGGTTTGGAAAGTGGTTGAGTGGCATCAGGAAATTATAGAGTAAGTAAAAGTTTAGTTTAGAAATTTCTAGTAGGTATATTGGCAAAAGCGTACTCTTGTTTGACTGCAAGATGAGATGTCAGATAATGTTACTAACGCCCTGGTTCCAATTTAATGACTGAACACCATCAGTAAATAAGAATTTACGAACCCGATGAATACCTATACAGCAATACATTTTTTAATGGGTGTATTTAGTAAAGTGCCATGAATGCGTAGTCGTTAGCCTATGAGAGGTAGACGATCAGCAAAACGAGCCACTTGGTTTCATCATCTCTCAATAGCAACTACCATCAGATTACGATCTGCGACGGCCCGTGCGCAAGTCCTTGGATCGACTTCGCACTCAGATAGGTCATTGTAGACACAAGATGTGTAAATGGGAGTTTAGGGATGCTAGTCCAACCCGATGCGACTGCGGTGCGCCAACACATTCCATACATCACTGGCTGTTGTGCATCATGTGCCCTAATACTTGTACGAGGGAAGATCTCTACGCGGCCACGGATAGCGCAGTTATGGTGGTAATATACCATTCAAAGACAATATAGTTTTAAAATAAAAAAAGCATCGATATGATAACAAGAAGATGAAGCAAAACGAGACCAAGGCGGCCTATCCACACTTGGCAGTGCACAATTCAGGAGAGCGAGATTATGACTGCTCGACTGATGTGGAGCGAAACAAACGAAGACGTTGCAAAACATGGGGAAGTTACAATTCCTAGAAGTCATTTGTATCAATCATCATCATCATCATACACAGCCTGGCTTCACCCACTGCTGGGTACAGTCCAAGTTTTTGTGCCACTCCCCATGATACGGGATCATAGGTAATCAATTCCCTAGACGCCCGACATTCTTGTATCCAGTCCTTGACGCTACTCAGTTATCGTTTTACTCCATCTGTCATTTTGTCTCCGTATCAGGTGCCCTGGCCAGCTGCACTTTAGTTTCATGATACGGTTCCCCAAGTCCTTTACCTTTGTTCGACTTCGAAACTGGACATTGGGAACACGGTCTATAAGCTTGATACCGAGCGTGACACACTCCATAGCTCTCTGTGCAACTCTCAGCCTATACACAATCTCCTGCGGGAGCGTTCGTGTCTCGGCACCGTAAGTCATGGTAGATTATATAGACGGCTCTTCAGATATTGTGGAATTTTGGCTGACTTAAGAATGTCATCCAACTTGCCAAACGCGACCCACCCCAAGATGAATTATCCTGGTGATCACCTTAATTTGATGCTCCTTGCCAAAAGATAAAATCAATATGTAAACCAATCAATATTAAAATCAAATTGAATAAATAGGTTACTTTTAAACAACTTCAAAAAATGTTGTCTTCTTAACTCTCTAGAATAAGACATAACCTGGCAACTCGCAGGTAGACCATTAAAATTCTCAAGTTTTCGACAACTGGTTAGACTTTGTAATTTCTATCAATCTGCTCATGAATATGTTTATTAATAAATCTTTCTTTTTAGGGCCGTGAAACTAGTAGATATAATTTATTCAAAATCGACGCTATTCAACTTCGTGTCCAGTTCAGCTATGATTTGCCTCACTGGATTTAATGTTACGGTTAGTTTTCGTTGATGGTTATTATCATCATCATAATCGTTAATCCATTATATGTCTACTCTAAGAAGTGGTGTTAGGTTATCGCACACGAAACCATATACTGTCGTAACCTAAAATTCTGGAATTCAGAAAACACGATTTGAAAATTCAAAAACAAATACTGAATGAATCCAATACAATGTTATTTTAAAAATACTAACAACTTTGAAAATATATTTCAGGGCCTCTACTTGAAAACAGATTTCAGGGCCACAATTATAAATATTACCTATCACCTAAGTCAGGGGGTCCATCCTCACACTCTGGAACCGAGTCGATCTCGTACTGTACGGTTTCAGAGGAGCTTTCTCCCACGTACAATTAGGTTGTGGAATGAACTCCTGTCGGGGTTTTCCCGCAGGAATACAGCAAGGAGTCCTTCAAAAAAGGTTTGAGAAGGGCGACGGTAACCGCTTTCCATCAGGCGGGCCGTATGCTTGTTTGCTGTCTACATATTATTAAAAAAATATATATAAAAAAAAATTAATATCAATTCAATAAAAAAATTAAATACTATGAACAGCGACGTCTCTAGCCGAGACTGGTAGCTAAAAAGGTATCTAATTGGGTGACGAAATACTTTCATAGATTTCTCATAGATGGCGCTACGGCTAAGAAATCGTTGAAAAACCAAGTACAAAGACACAACAACAAGTACATAGAAAAATTCGTGAGTGCCACTGGTTCGTTCTTTTATATTAATGATCTACCATTATTTGTTAAGGACCATTGCGAAATAGTGTTGTTTGCTGATGACATATCCTTGATTTTTAAAACAGACAGACATGACATTAACTATGACCATATTAACGATACCCTCTCTAAGGTAGTTTATTGGTTTAATGCTAACAATTTATTGCTTAATGTCAAGAAGACAAAATGTGTTAAATTTGAATTACCTAACGTAAAATCGACTAGTCCAAGCATAGAAATAAACGGAGAAAAGTTAGACCTTGTTAATAAAGCAGTCTTCTTGGGAGTGACCTTAGATAGTAAACTTCAATGGTTTCCACATGTATCGTCACTGGCCAGCAGATTAAGCTCTGCTGCATACGCAGTCCGCAGAATACGTGAGCTTACCGATGTTAGTATTGCTAGACTAGTTTACTTTAGTTACTTCCATAGTAAAGGGTCTTTCAACAAGAACTTTGTTTTCTAAAACAAAATAAAACAAAAAATTTAGATGAAGATGATTCAAATTTTTATTGTATTACAAAGAGAAAAGTTCGGCAATTATGAATGAAAAATGATATCTGGCAAATGTCCACCACGACCACGCTGACAGAAGTCGATTCTTTCATCAAAAATTTTAATCACTTTTTGGCAAAATGTCGGGTCTATTTCGGCTATCACATCACGGATTTTGAGTTTTAAGGCTGTAGTCGATTCGATTGGCTCCGTATAGACTCTGTCCTTAAGATAGCCCCACAAAAATAATCCAGTGGTGTTAAATCACACGATCTGGTTAGCCATTTAACAGCTGAATTTCGGGAAATTACGCGATCAGCAAATTTGGTTTGCAATAAATTGATCGTCTCATTGGCTGTGTGACATGTGGCACCGTCTTGTTGAAACCACATGTCAGTGATATCCATGTCATCAATGCTAGGCCAAAATTGAGTTGTTAACATCTCGCGATAGCGTGATCTTTTCACCGTTACCGCATTTCCAGCCGAATTTTCGAAAAAAAACGGCCCAATGCCAACGGCACAAGTCACATTGCCACCGAAACAATGAATTAATTTATTGCAAACCAAATTTCCCGATAATTTCACGAAATTCAGCCGTTAAGTAGCCAGCTCGATCATATGATTTAACACCGCTGGATTATTTTTTATGGGGTTATGTTAAAGACAGAGTCTATACGGAGCCAATCGAATTGATTGCAGCCTTAAAACTCACAATTTTTGAAGTGATTAACCAAATAAACCCACCACTTTCTCAAAAAGTGATTAAAAACTTTATGGAAAGAATCGACATCTGTAACTGTGGTCGTGGTGGACATTTATCAGATATCATTTTTCATTAATAATTGCCAAACCTTACTTTTATTAATACAATAAAAATTTGAATCATTGTCATCTAAATTTATTGTTTTATTTTGATTTACAAAACAAAGTTCTTATTGAAAAACCCTATATAATGTCCTACGGGATTCTCATGTGGGGTAAAGCGGCAGATATTCAAACTATATTTGTATTGCAAAAACGAGCGATTCGTTCTGTGTACCGTCTAGGCTTTCGGATTTCTCTCAGAGAAAAGTTTAAGGAGACTGGCATCATGACTGTGGCATCACAGTACATTTACTCAAATATTTTATATGCCCGTAAAAATATACATAATTTCAATAAGAAAGAAGATATCCATAATATTAACCTTAGAGGTAAGTCCAAATTCATGGTACCACGATTTCGTTTAACCAAGGTAAACAACTCTTTTATGGAACTGTATACGTTTTTACAATAAGATTCCGGAGCATATATTAAGTTTATCATTTCCTAAGTTTAAAAACTACATTAAAAGTATTTTGATCGAAAAATCATATTACAAAATTGAAGACTACGTGTTAGATAACGATGTATGGAAAGACGACATGGCTCCAGAATCCACACAAATTTGATTCAAAGTGTATTCCATAGCATTTAAGTTTATTTGAAAAGAGCAATCCCTAGAGTTTCTTGCTCGTTCTTTTCAGGACAGCGTAGTGAACGAACAGTAGCTTAAATGTGACGTTTTCAAGTGTACATTTATTTTACCTATGGAATAAATTATATTTGACTTGACTTTGTTCCGTGTCTTAGTTGGTATAGCGTCTGCCACGGTATGCTAGAAGACGTCGGATGGATCGAAGGAATTTTTTCTGAGTGTTCGATTTTTGAATTAATAATTATTACCTACAAATATCGTTAGGTAGTGTAATTTTATTTTGGCAGAAAAAATCTGAAACACACACTTATACGACCGTGATACGGAACCAGGAACGTGCCAACTCTCGTTCCCATCTCTGTTTTAGCAATGCTAAAATGAGGATGAATATTATTTACTATATAATAATAGACCATTATGGGTTATTTTTAAAATATTAACAACCTCGCAGGAATATACTACTAACATAAACAACAAGTTTTATTTAATGACTTTTGACAAAACATAATAAATTTAGGAAATGAAACTATTTTTCCGGATTTAAATCGCGTATATTTGTTTTTTCAAACAAACCGACGTTTCGGGCCCTTTACGTTACGTTTGAAAAAACAAATGTACGCGATTTAAATCCGGAAAAATAGTTTCATTTCCTATGTGTAACAATCGCGAAAACCTAAGAACTCGACATAATAAATTTACCAAAAATTAACTTTTAAGTTTTTGTTGTACTATCTGACACTATTTAGATCTGTATTTGGTAGACTAAGTTCAAATATGCAAGTGTCATCCGCGACAATCACACCTCTGTCCCGCACAGTGTTATTACCATGAGCAATCTATTTAAATCTATGAAAGAAGTTCTGTATGAAAGTGAAATCTGTTGAATTATTAAAAGTCATGGAATAAAAGTTATGGTGTTAGAAAATAGCCTTGCAAGGTTGTTAGTATTTTAAAAATAACTCTGTAGCTCTGTCCAGGAGGACGTGGCAAAGGTTTGTTTCGTCAGTGAAAGAAAAAAAAGCACTTAATAAACAAATAAGATTTTTATGTAAGACTTTTGTTGTAGATTCTCCTCTCAGTGAATTATATCGAAATTCGCCAGTGAAATTTAAAGTGAAAAACGCGTAAGTTCCTTTACCTTGACATTGGAGGAAACATAGATGGTATCGTTGGATCTATAACATTTTAGAGAAGAAAACTTTTTTCCATCCTCCAAAGTGTCCAGGCAATAGTTTAGTTATTTCGAAAATTATGTTTTGGGACCGATTGCTTTAAAAATCTCTTTGGTTTGATTACATACTTTAAAAAGTTTGAAAAGGTGTTATTTAATGATAAGTATTGATTACGTTTATATACCTGAGTGAAGTTTTGTGTATGTTTGAGTACCAGATACGTAGTGAAACGTGAATTTACATAATTACTATTTGTTGTTGTTGTTAGTAAACTATTATGTAGAGTTAGTTGCATCAATTAATTGTTAAAAACACTGCGAAATTGGTCCATAATAACTGAGTCTGTTAAAATATGAGTATATGAATATACTAGATTCAAAGACTGGAACACAATTTGTACTACTTACAAATATATAATTTCCTCTATGATGAATAAAGATGGGGAAAACTGCTTATTTGTTTAAACGTTTAAATAAATAAATAAATAAATTTTAAATAAATAACGCACACACTCAACATAGCCCCGCACTAGGGAAACCCTGTGTCGCGGGTACCATGGACACACACATAGACAACCACAAATTACACCCAAACTCACGAGAGAAATAAATGTAAGCCATACAAACATTTCTCCCGGCCCGGGAATCGAACCTGGGACCTCTGCGTGGCAGTCCGGCATGGTAACCGTTCGGCCACGGAGGCAGTTATTATATAACGTTATGCTTTTTTAAAAAAAGCGTGCTTTTTAAACGCTTTTTAGTTTGAAGCTAACAAAATCATTTAGAGAACGTGTAAGCGCATAGATTTTTATGTTTATTTTTTTTATTTTTTTTAAAGCTTGCAACGTTGTGTTGATAGCAAAACGCAAGAGTAGACCACTAAAGGTTTTAAGATAAGTAAGTTTTTTTTGTAAAAGAACGATATATTTTTATTTATGACATAACATTATTATATTAACATTTTGTTCATTGGCCCTAAATCAATAATCATCATTGGTTATAAAAGCGTTCAAAAACATACGTTGTTTAACTTTTGTAGTTGTTAACCGTTGAAATGTTATTTTTTTAACGTTAAAACATACGTTTAAAAAGCGTGCTTGCAAAAGCGCTTTTCACTTAAACGCTTTTTAGTTTGACGCTTAAA